TAGTTCGCCCACTCGGTCGGCGCCAAGTCCCCATCGAGGCTCGTCGGCACGAGAGACGCCGCTGACCTCGGCGGCCTTGAGGAAACCTTAGGTGGGAATACTCCGAGCAGGGGCAGCTCGTCGTTCGGGGCGCTTCTTTAGGAGCCCTAGGGCACTTCGAAGAACCCGCACAGTCCAAAACCAATGCTCCTCGCAAGTTTCGGTGGACTTCGCGGTCGCGCCGATCGCCTCGGGGCCCCTCTCGAATTCGGGCGCGCGATCGATCTCTCAGGCAGTCATGCCTCCGTCGCGACGGGAACGCGCCAGATTACTCCCCCACTCCTTCCGCGGCGATTGCGGGGTCGGTGCGCGGTGCATTCGCGGTCGAGGGCCTCCACGGCGAGCTGCGAGAAGAAAAAAACGATGGACCTCAGAAAGTCGACGGGCTTCGCGAATATCTCGCTCGAGCCGCTCAGCGCGCTCGTGGCGTGCAAGCTGCCGAAGAGACAAACGGATGCCCTGCAGTTCCTGGCAATCTGGGAACAGGGTGGGCGGGCTTCACGACTCCCTCGGACTTCGCGCCCTGCTATCCAAGCCTGGCGCGGGCCTCCGCGCGAAGTCGCACCAGCTCGCGTCGTCGCTCTCGGAGTCGCACGGCATGGGGATCGTCGGTCTTGGTCCTCTGGCCGAAAAACTGCTGTGCGCAGGAGCGTGCGAGGACCACCCACTTCTTCCAAAGGCCGTCGATGTCGCCTGTGGTGCCGTACTGCGTTAGCCCCGTGCACTGGTCGAACGCCGTCTCCAAGGCACTCTGGAACTCCAGTCGGTTGGTGCCCTCCTGCAACGCGGTCGCAGGTCGGGCCGTCTTAGTGATAGTGCGTCGGTCCTGCTTTCGCTAAAAGGCTGCCAACAGTCGTCAACTCATGTGGAAATATCGAATCCTCCCATCTTCTGGTCGCCTAAAGTAGTCTGGTTGCCCAGGTGGTGGCCGCCGATGTTGTCGGCCTTGTTCGCAGCCTTTACGTTGAACACCGGTGGTGGGACGACTGGTCCGTTACGGAGTCCAATACCAATGCTCAGGTCACCCATGACGACTAGGGTCGAGCGAGCGGGTTCTGATCTCATTCGCTGTGTGGCCAATTGCACCAGCTAGCGCGAACCTTTCTCGAGGGCCCGCCTCTTGCGAGCACAATCGTCCGTCACCGGGGGCACATACAGCAGCACGATCGCCAGGCCCGAAAATCCGCGTACTATGCGTGCTGCTAGTCCTTGTTCCTAGGCAATGGGAGGTGGGGTCGTGATGGTCCAAGTCCCTCCGCGAATACTCTGAACCATCATCAGCATGCTCCCTGCTGCTCGGTTCGAAAAGGGAGCTGCAGCCCATCCCGCCGACAGACCATAACCACCACGTTCTATGTACCACTCGTGGACAAGACAGCCTGGTGGGGCACGGAGGCGGGTGCCCGCCAAGCCGGTGATGTCAGCGTCAATCTCTCTCCACATGTTCGCGGGTATATCCACTTCGGCCACAAGCATATGATTGTGAAGTGCCAGGGTAAGAACAGAACCTTTGGGTCAACAAGGGCGAGAGCGTCCAGTGACGTTCCCGCCCCGAGATCGAGTGTGGACCAGCCACAGGAAATACATTATGGAAGGGGGCGCGGTGTAATACATGGATGCTGCATTGTGTGATGGGGATGCCAAGAGCAGCTCGGAGGAGGAAGGAAGAGGACGGAGATAGAATGGGGAGGGTGAGAAATGGGGGGGGCAGACGGGAGGCTAGAACGGAGCGGGGAGAGATATTCCAGGAGCCATGAGGGAGGAACAAAGAGGGAAGACGAGCAAACATGGAGTGAGAAGCGACGATGACGAGCAAATGTTGAGGGCGGAGGACGAGATTTCGGGTGACTGTAATAATCCAACCAGCCCTTTGGGCGACAGGTGGTCTAACGAGGGTCTCTTTCCTCTTCCACAACCCCTCTTCCCTTCGGAGAGGGGAACCCTCTCCCTCCCCCTCCCGGAGGAGTTTTTTGGGATGGGGCAGCGGCGAGTTAGAGCGTTCTTTTTGTCAGTCCCTGGGAGGGCATTTTTTTTGCCACCCCTCACGAGGATCGTGGCCCTCGATGGGGGGACGAAGATAAGGGAGCCACTCTTTTGACCGATAGCCTCCAAGAGGTCCTCCAGGGTTCCCAAGAGAGCCCCATGAAAGCCTAAAGAGCGCCCCGAGAAGCCCCAAGAGGCCTCCAAGAGGCACCCGAGAGGCCCCCAAGATGCCCCCGAGCGGCCTCAGAGAGCCCAAGATGACCTCCAAGATGGCTCAAATAGCCCAAGCTGGCTCAAGATGGCTCCCAACTTGCTCCAAACGGCCCCAAGACAGCTCCAAGACGGCTCGAGATGGCCACGGAGCCTCGCAAACCTCCCTCACTGTTTGCCTATGCGTGCCTCTTCCGCTCTCCCCCCGTCAACTCTCATGACATCGTTTCTGGATGGGCTGGTGGGCCGGCTGGCGGGGATTTCTGGTCGCGGCCGCAAGCGAACGCGCAGGCGGCGTCCGAAGGCGTCCAGGGCTACGGACGAACCCTAATTATCCAGCGAGCGCACTCACGGCTGCCAGAGCTGCCGCCGAGGGACGCTGAGCGGCGCCAGGGACTGAAGGAAAACATGCTGGTGGGGGTACGCGAGCGTCAAGAATAGCGACGACGGTGTAGGAGACCAACATGATGCAGACCTGTGGCAGGAGGAATACGAAATCCCTCATGAAAGTGCTATTCTATCCAACATGAGTATGAGTGTGAGGTTGATGCTGATGTCATTGACTTCGACGCTGATCAGGATTACTACTTTTTCCAGGGACGGTAACCACATCCCATACCCAGCATATGTACAGACTGAAAGGCTCGAGGGCTTGTCGGTCCTAATCAAGCCCTATAGGAAAATACCGAAAACTGATATTAAGGAACAAGCCTAGAATTCCACTCGTCAGAATGAGACGTGAGCCTTCAAGCTGACATGTAGATACGGGCACAAACACTTTCGTGGCATTCACTGTTCCCAGCGGTGCTCGTTAGGGCCCCAAGAGCCGTCTGACACATCGTGCATTGCTTCAGTGAATCGCCGCATTAGCCAGCAAGCAGGGAAAGCCTACGGCTGGAAGTGCCAGCACGGCACCGTATAACAGGCTGCGCAGGCAGTGCACTCTATTTCTGCCCTTCGCCTCCACAGCGAAGAATCAATTTCAGAGGCACGGTGCCACGCTTCCACAGGCAACCAGCCCAATCAGAAACGTGCGAGAAAATTGGAGCGAACAGCAATCGCCAGAGGTGGAAAATCCGTGGTAAAGGATGACACCACCGTTCCCCTTGGCGTTAGGTCGGGCGTGTCCCCCTACAGGCGGATTGGAGCGAAAGACGAAACATACTCAAAGGATTTCCAAAACATAGTCAACAACATTAACCAAACAATCGTCCCTGGATTAGTTTTGCCTATTTTTGAACTTTCCTCCTGTAGAGGGACGGGCTCGATCTCACGCCTGTGGTGGACAATCCGTGGTAAAGGATGAATCCACCGGTCCCCCCCGGCGGGGTGGCCACCAGCCTGCGCGAATGAGGCGTCGGTATCCTCCTCCTCCTCCTCCTCCTCCTCCTCCCCTCCTCCTCCTCCCCTCCTACACCCCTTCATCCTCCCCCCCCTCCCCTCCTCCTCCTCCGCCTCCCCCTCCTCCCCCTCCTCCTCTTCATCCTCCCGCTCCTCCTCCTCCTCCTCCTCCGCCTCCGCCTCCGCCTCCGCCTCCTCCTCCTCCTCCCCCTCCGCCTCCGCCTCCCCCTCCTCCTCCTCCTCCCCCTCCTCCTCCTCCTCTTGCTCCTCCTCCTCCTTCTCCTCCTCCTCCTCCTCCTCCGAAAACATCGTCCTCGGAAACCCTGCGTGTCTGCAGCCGTGGCGACCTCTTTACTCAGGTACCGAATCTCCGAGCACAGAACTCTCACTTCGCGATAACCTCACCACCTGAGAGCGCAGGTGGCCCCCCTGGGATCGACCGCGCAGCGCTCCCACCTCCCAGCACACATCCTCGCTGGGAGTACCTCTAAGCCCAGAACGCTGGGAGTGCCTCGAAGCCATGACCTCGGAATATGTGTGCCCTCGAGCATGTGGACTCAGCTGGATGTGTGATCCGATGCCGCGACGATCTCTAGCAAAAACGATGGCTCCGACCTCTCGGAGACACGTTCCCTCGTCAAGGACGGTTTGACGCTCCCTTGGCCACGATCATTCGCAAGAAGGGTCCACGCTCCCAGAGCCACGGCCATCCCTCGAGGACTCGCTCCTGGGCTCGGTCTCGGAATTCCTTCGAGGATGAGCTCAGGAGCGAATCCTGGAATTCCCTCCAGGGATGGATCCCGAGTGTATGCTTGGGCTCCCTCCAGCACAAAATTGTAGAGGAAGCCTTTCGAGAACGCTACCACTCCTAAGAAATAGCGGGCCCACCATCAGGTGGCCATGCTTCATGGCCCATGGTATCACGACGGTTCCGCGCGCTCGAGGCCGCGATCCCTCGAACAACAGAAGATGACACCCTGACCCTGGAACAACAACCGTTTGCAACATCGATGGGTCAACGATTCTGCGGCCACGATCCCTTCAGAACACTCCCGAGGGCTGCCCAAGCCAACGAGCCGTCCAGCCAGACAGCCAGTCGGCAAGCCAGCTAGCCAACCAGCCTGTCAACCAGCCAATCGATCAGCCCAGCCATCCGACCATCGACACCGACCTAGCCATACAGGCGACCCAAAGGGGGGAGGGCGGCGACAGGGGGCGCAGCGCCGAAGATTACATGTTGCGAACCCCAAGGTGGCACCTGCTGCGCCCGCACTCCGCGGACTGCGTGAGTGCCCCCGCCTGTTCGCACGATCAGGCTCCTACCAGCCTGCTCGCGTCAGAGTAGTTCAGCAACAGCGGCTCCGCCTTGCCCCCTGCCCCGGCGCCAAGGGCGCCGTGCAGCAGCGCGCGGCCGCAGTCGCCCGGAGTCACGGCCTTGGCCCCAGTCTCCTCGCACGGAGTGCGCCGTGGCGCGTCGCGGAACGCCACCTTGGCTTCGTCGACGAGGGCAAGCATTCGGGCTGCCCGGGCGGGGTCTTTGTAGCAGTCTGGGCCGCTGTAAGAAGAAGGAACAACCGCATGAACAATACCCTCGGAGCCCACCCGTACTTGCTGGATCGGCGCTACTATCATGCGGTCGGGCATTTTCTCCTGCAGGCGGACTTTGGAAGAACAATGAAATATAGCCCAACAAATATTCAGACATATGTCTAAAACAAATGATGGAACAAAAACGTAAAACGTTTCCATACGATTTGGCTACTGTAGACGGACAGGCCCGACTTTCCGCTACTAGCACCTCCGCGGCGCGCGGTGTCATGCGCCAGGGGGCGGCGTGTCCGAAGCGCCGCGGGAGAGGGGGCCCAACGTGTACCACCAAAAAATCCGCGCGGAGCTCCGAACATTTGAATATTCATGCCGTTTTTTCTTCTTCGAGCTGTGCCACTCGTCGAACATCTCGCCGATGCCCCTGGTGAGAGCCTCGGTGAGAACCACGTTGGTGTAGACGGTCAGCTCGGGCGCCAGGTCCTTGTGTGCTCCAGGAGCCCGCGGATCCCCGAAGAGGAGGTACTTGAAGGGGAGGCTGTCCAACTCCGATGGCAGCACGTAGTGCTTGCGGCCGTGCATTGGGAAGGCGAAGTTCATGAGAGTGCCTGGCTGGTGCTCCTTCTCCGTGAGCCAGGCCCAGTGAGTGAAGGACCCATCCCAGAGGTTCTTTGGCGTGCTGAACATTGGGAAACTTGACAAAGGTAGGATATCGAGACCGGGGAAATAACGGTGAACCACCATTGCCGCTATGTGCACAGTCGCGTAAGCCACTCCAAGGCCAAAGCATATCGGATTCGCCTGCGCGTAGGCACGACCCACACCCAGGATGTCGGCTGCGACGATCTGGTCCCCAAAGAAGAAGCATGCGTAGTAAGGCCCCCACCACGGCAAAAAGTCGATGTTCTGGCAATACGCAATGCCGTAATGAAGGCCTAGACCGGCCAACGCGAAAGGTATGTTCAACGCTGGGACCAGCAGCACCACTGGGGCAACGAGCTCAATCAAGACGCCATAGATGGACATCAGCCCAAGGAGGAAGGGCTTGCTAAAGAGCCAGCGTTGGACGACGCGCGCGTAAGGCGTTGGAATACAGAACGTCATGTGGGCGTTCAGTGGCAGGTTGATGCCCATGATCGCCTCAAATACGCACGCCTGCATAGTCGCCCCACTGAGCCAGCTCACTCCTCGGGCCATGCCTGCCCATATCTTGCACAAGGCAGCGCTGCAGTAGGCGCTGGTGATCACAAGCCGCAAGAGGAACAGAGGCCACTGCTGCGCCGCCGCCGCCGCGCCCTGTGCCGCACGCGGCTCCGCCAAGTCTGGGCTCAGCAGGAGGACCAGCAGAGCCGGAGGAATGAGGCAAGTGTTGTGAGCAACCATGTGGATCTCACAGTAGAGCTGAGGCACGTAGCAGTGGTAGCAGAGCAGCGCCACCGCCAGCAGCGGCCTGGGATCGGCCAGGACATCCGTGGAGGCGAGCACGAGCGACGCGACGAGGCCGACGCCGCTCAGGGCCATGCACGCCACCGACAGCCTCGGAGCTGGCAACACGCCGAAGAACTTTCCGGCGGTCTGCCCGTAGCCCCGGAAGCCAGCCATCTCCAGTCCGGAGCCCGAAAACCAGCGGTAGAACTTCAGCTGCCTCGGGAAGTCCACCATCAAGCTGATGGCGATGAGGCTGCACCACGCGACCTGGAACTGGCGAATCGGCGAGAGCTCCAGGAACGCTGGCAGGAAGGACGACACGACCATCATCGCCGACAATGTCGTGTTCTGCAAGGAGCTAGTGGCAGGGAACGCCCAAGCACGAAGACGTCACTGCGTGAGGCAAGCAATTAGCACGTGCATGGGACAGCCTTCAACACAAGTCCTTAACGGCTATGGAAGATGCGATGGCGTCTCTCCAATCTAGATCGAACGCGGACGATGTACACTATTCACTTACGCTTTTGCATGGGATCTTTCCTTTCCACGCCGGGCTAGCAGGGGGCTGGGCTCCAAGACACTGCAGTGACAGCGCACGGGTAGGAGGCAATGGCAACAATGGTGTGCCAAGTATTGTTGTAAGCGTGTGCGACGCTATGCACTAAACAGGATGAGGACGATGATGCTGCCGGGCCCAATGTCTGAACCAAGCGATCACAGGGCGCAGCTGGCAGGAGCGCTCATTCCACCGCATCTCCGACGCAGCGCTTGCACTTCGCGGCTCTGACGGTTCTCTTGTCGGCAACCGGACGGCTCCGCCGAAGATGCTCCACCCTGCCGCTCCTCGGGAGCGGCAAAGAGGGGGGCGTCCAAGAGGGGGGGGGTGCAGATCGTGGCCGGCGGCATGTGCGCGGCCCGGCGGGGGGGCCAGGGACGTCATGGAATAAGAAGAGGCGGCATGACATCTGGGGAAACATCATGGCCCCCGCCATGATATCCACCCCCCCCTAATTAGTCCTCGCCCCCCTCTTTGCCGCCCCTGCCGCTCCGCGCGTGCTCCCTCGTGGGCGCCCCTGGGCGGCCCGCGCGCCGGGCGGGTGCGGCGAGGCCGCGCCCCCTTTTGCCGGCCGCGCCGCCACGGTGGGCGCTCGTGGGCGCCCCCGTGCGCTGGCCGGGAGGGGTTCGCCGAGGCTGCGCCGCGCTGCCGCCTCGTGCCGCCACGGTGGGCGCCGCGCTGCCGCCTCGTGCCGCCACGGTGGGCGCCTCGTGGGCGCCTCGTGCGCTGAGCTTGCACCCCGCGGAGCGTGCACCACAGAGCGTGCACGGCACAGCCAGCGACACAGCTGGCGCAGCGCGTGTTGCACCACACGTCTCACACCGCACAAACCGTCGCCTCCCAGCGCACCCCATGGCTCACACGGCGTGGCCTGCACCATCCGTCGTACACCACGTGGCCTCCACATCCACAGCTCACACCGCATAGCGTTCGCCTCAGAACTTTCGACTTCACAATAGAATGACTCGCTGTTTCAGGTCACGGTGGCTGACATAACCACACTAGACGCACATTCGCCAGACAACGCCGATTCGAGTCTTCAGTGGTGCATCCCGAGCGGGTGACCCACGACTGATTACACAGGCGGACATGCTGCTGCAGGCCAGCGGGTATGCAGTCCTCCCCGGGGGGGGGCCTTTAAAATCCTACAAGGAGGCCCCAGGGCGCCACGAGGTCCCCAATAGAGCCTCACGTCCCAAGACAGCCCGAGAGGTTCCCCAGCCTGCCACTCACAGCGCAGGCTGCGGCAAGGCGCCAAGACCTGTCGGAGGGCTGCCGGCCGTGCCGCCTGCCGAGACGAGGCCGCCGCGGATGGCCGTGGGCACGGCGGCCAGTGGCGACGAGCGCGGGAGTGCTCCGAAAGGGGGGGTCTTGTGGAACGGCGGGCACGCAGGATCCGAGGGCGCAGCGGCAGGGGGGCACGGAGGGCGGATTGCTGGGCGAGGAGATTCAGGTCGGGCACGTCCCCCCTGCAGGCGGATTGCTGGGCGAAGCATGGCAAGAAGGCAAAACATGTTCAAAAAAAATTAAACATAGTCCAAACATCGCCACCTGACTATTTCTGGACTATTCTCGAATGCTCCTCGTGTAGAGGGGCACGCCCGACTTGAGAGGAGATGCGCCGATGGGAAGGGAAGGAGGAGGGAGCATTGCCGACGGAGGGAAGACGCAGGGCCAGGGGAGAGTAGATAGAGAGGATCGGGAAAACGTTGAGTAGAGAAAGGGGGAGCGAATGAGGAGTGGGCAGGAGACGGGGACAAGGTAGAGCAGTCGAGAGGGAGGAGATGCGTTGCCATGGACGGGCCGGAGCTGCTGGACTCACCACACCGCTCGTCCATGGCGGGGTAGGCGAGGCAGTCCCTCCACCCCGCCGCCCTGTTCCCTGCTCACGTGTCCGCTGCTGGGGAACACGTGGGAACTGCGGGCTCGCGACAAACAAGCAACACAAGTACGGGAGCACACTCTAGCGCCACGACCCCGAGCGTGGCTGGGGACGGGGAAGATGCCGCTTTGTGTGGCACTCCCCGGGGAGCACCTGGTGACAGATGGCGGGTTCAGGAAAACTTGGATCCGCGAAGCAAGACTCATACCTTGGGGGGTGCAACTCTTCCTCCCGCCAGGCTCCGCTGGCGAAGGCGCCCTTGTGTTCCTGGACTTGCCATCGCGCGGACGTCCGTTCCCCGTGCACTGCGCGGCTTCGTGCGCGTCCTGTTTTTCGCACAAGATGACCCTATATGACCCAGTATGCTCCTCGATTGTCCTCACACGCCCGAGCGATGCCAAGCGAACTGTAATACACCGTGCTCCGCGGAAGAGCTCGTCAATGCAAACTCCCCGAAACAAAACACGACTCGGCAGGCCCAACCTCCCTGGGCCGACGAGCCGCCCTGGGCTGACAAACCCTCCTGAGCAGGCAGTTCTAGGCCAACAAAAGCGAGATGCTGGGCAGGGTCCCGTCAGACAAATTTCAGGCTCCTCCGGAATGACCTGTGCCCCTTTCCACGCTGCACGCCCGCCAGCTTCCACCGCTCACCCGCCACGTCCTGCCGCCTTCCGCAGAGGACGAGATGTCAGCTCCTTCGATGCGTCGAAGGCGGTGCCCCTTCTGGAAAGCCTTAAATGGCCCATCGACCCACACATCTCCAGCACCAGACTGCCGTTGGCGGCCCTAAGTGTGGGACGGCGGCAAGAAGAGGATCACATCGGGCGTAGATGCCTCGGGATCGCTGACAACCAGAGAGCCTGGAGGTTAGGGGCAATGTCTGGGTGTTCTTCGCAAGAGCGGCTCGAAACTATGAAGCCATACTCAGGTGCCATTGAGCCAGATTGCAGCCCAAATTCTGCACAAGACCAGGCAAAATCAAACATGGGTCCAGGCGGAATGAAACGGGATTGTGCGGAATTGCGGCGGATTGCGGCAAATTCGTGTCGTGCCGACCCCGGCTTTGGTTCCTGACACAGCGGGGAAAATTCAACCTCGAACAATCGGCGACTGCCGCAACGTGACAATCGGCTATACGTAAGAGTGACCCTGGGTAAGAGTGACCTTTGGTGCGCGGCTTTGGGGGGGCCGCGGCGGGACCAAACACAAGCGCGCAAGACGCTGCTACAGCATCGCGCTCGGCGATCGGGGGACCTCAGTGGGCCCGCACCAAAGGTCACTCCGGCGAAGGGTCACTCTTACGTCTAGTCGATATAAATCGTTCAACTTCGACCGATTCTGGGTCGCCGGCGGCGTGCAACGCTGAACGCCGGAGGCGGGGTCGCCGCCGGTCGACACGACACGAACCCACCGTGAGCCAGCGTGGTCGACCGCAGAGATACGGTGGGGGCATTGGACAAGGGACCCGTAGAGAAGTGATCCAGGGTCTGGAAGCCGGCGGAAATACAACAAGGGATCGGCCATGGACATCACCACAGCCCTCATCAGAGAAGGAAGCCTCCAGGGTCTGCCGCCTCCTGGGCGCATTCCTGCACGAACGCCCCCACCGTACCAGCACCGATGCCGAATCAACATGCCGGGCGTTGCATCCTCATGGAGGCATGCATCGAGCGCCGCGGCCGCTCTTCGAGGGCTGTGCAGAGCGCTCCAGAGGGCCTCCAGGGCGCGCTGCAGTGATCCGTCGTCTTCCCCCAGGCCCGCCCGCCTGACCTTCGCCCCATGGAGGAAGGGAGCAAGACGAGGCTCGAGATGGCTCGAGGAGGATCGAGGATCGGCGAACGCTACGGAGGGTCGCGGGGCGAGACAGATCAGAGGGCCAAGCCACGGTTCGAAGGTCGAGAATCATCGAGTGTCGAGGTACGCTCTGGAACGAATTACCTTCGTCCCAAGCCTGCTTGAGGGTGCCTCCAGAGTTAGAGACGCCCTTGGAAGACGGCCCATGGGGCCCCACCGAGACCGCCTCCCTCATCCCAGGGCCACACGGGTTCTTGAGACTTCCGAACTGCCCGAAAACCGCATCTGGGTTCTGCATATGCTGCATGTTCCTAACCGGATCGATCCGTGAGGATCAGACAGACAGACGCAGACACGAACCTTGAGCCTGACGTCGCGCGAGCCAGATGAAGCAAATCGGAACGACGTCGAATTGCTGCACTACCCGGTGTGGTTGAGGCACCTCGATTCCACACAGCCAACTCCCACGATGCTGCCGCCCAGCCTGCTTGGTAAAGTATCCAGACAGCGCGTGACATATGCTTGGCGAAAATATGCCTGGCGGAAGTAAGCGACGACAGCCGCCCCGCCTGCTTGACGGACGTATGCAGTGGCGGATGTATGCTGATTGAGGGCCCCCAGAACTTACACCCCCCTCGGAAAGTCATGCGACTTTTGCGGGTGGTGTTGAAAATTCGTCTGGGGAACGTCATGGGGCTAATTGTTGTTTATCCTGGGTCCGCTACTGACGGTCCCGGGGCCCTGCTAAAAACGACGAAGCTAAGAGAGCGACAGAAACAAACACAATTTGTCGATTCAACTTGCACTGCTTTCGAGGGCAGAGACGGAGGGGAGCGCCCATCGCAATCTTGCCCTGTTGCGCGACGCTGCGATCTGATGGTGCAGGTGAGGGCGCAGACACCGGAGGTCGGGCCGGCGAGGTGCCTGGAGAATGGCGATGGCCGCCTCGATGTGCTCGATCGCGGTGTCGTGTCTGGGGGCCCCGGCAGGCTGTCCTCTCCTCCTCCTCCTCCTCCTCCTCCTCCTCCTCCTTGTCCTCCTCCTCCTCCTCCTCTGCTTCTTCTTCGTCGTCTTCCTCTTCCTCCTGCTCCTCCTCCT